CCATGTGCCTGGGAATGTACGTCACTTTGAACTTTACCTTCCGTGGAACCACGTCTTAACTAACATTGCTATAGGAACCCTGATATCCTGTCACCCGGAGAGAGATGCGCCTCAACATCCAACCGTAACTTTGAGGGTCGCCAGGGAGCTGGTGGACGGACTCATTTAATGTCACCTGTCATGGCCGCAGCTGCAGCCATTGCCGGAAAGTTGGCTGATGTGCGCAAGGTCGCTGGACCTGGCCGCTCATCTCCCGTTGTCAAGACGGAAACTCATGTCGCCGTTTCTGACCCAGTTGAAGAGGAGCTTTCTGGCGACGATGACCTCGACCGCATCCTGGATGTTCCCGAGGATGAGGCTCCCACTGCTTCCAGTGCCCCTGCTCCTTCCGGTGGAATGGACAAGTTCACAGTCCTCAAGGGTATCGCGGCTCCTTTGGAGCGAGCCAATGTTGATACTGATGCTATCATTCCCAAGCAGTTCCTGAAGACCATCAAGCGAACCGGTCTGGGCAGTGCTCTATTCAACCAGTGGCGATATGACGCCTCTGGCAAGGAGAATCCAGACTTCATCCTGAACAAGGAGCCTTACCGCCAGTCTAAGGTCCTGGTTGTTACAGGCCCCAACTTCGGTTGCGGCTCAAGTCGTGAGCACGCCCCCTGGGCTCTTCTCGACTTTGGTATCCGCAGTATTCTTGCTCCTTCATTTGTAAGTAACCTATTCTAAACCCATGAGCCTCTTTTTTACCCCCTTTTCGATCTCCCCTGCTAACTCATCACACTAGGCCGATATCCATCAGTCCAACCTGTACAAGAACGGCATGCTTCCCGTTGTCCTGGACGCCGAGTCCCTTGAGCGGGCTGCAGTCGAGGCCAGAGCCGGCCGAGAGCTGGAGATCGACCTCGGGGCCCAGGTCGTCAGGACCGCTGATGGGCAGGAGATCGGCAAGTTCGATGTCGAGCCCTTCAAGAAGCACTGCCTCATCAACGGCCTCGATGACATTGGCCTGACATCTCAGCTGGAGAACAAGATTCGAGACTTCGAGAAGCGAAGAACTCAAAACACTCCTTGGCTGGACGGCTCCGGGTACCTCAAGAGGACCGGCCCCGTCAAGGTCTCGGCTGCGCCGGTCCCCAAGACCAACCGCGGCGAGGTCAAGCAGGACCCCCTCGAGTGGTAAACAGGACAAACACGAAAGGAAAAAAAAAGAAAGAAAAAAGAACCAAAAAAAAGTTGAATGCAAAAAGTCTAGTTGTTTATTGACGGATGATGTGTACATGCCAAGTTTACGAATTCAAACGCGCATATAGCCTTTCCTTTGAACGCTTTCATTCATCCCAGTGCCATTGTCCCATAGTCATTCTGTTTCCGGAATCCGCAGCAGGCTCAGCAGCCCCGTAAGAGGGTCTTGACTCTCGCATGCGCCTACAATCCAAGACCGTCTCCATCACATAGCCGCCGTTAAAAGCAGCGCTGCCCAGCACCTAATTTGTGGCGCACGGGAGGAGCCCATGGATCATTCCGTGCCACAGGCTTGAACATGGCCTTGCGCCTCTGGCCCAACATGCAATGCATCCCTCCCCAACATCCATCGTAGGTCCACACTCGTTTCCATTCTCGTGACTCGCACCCAGCCCTCGAACGCCTCCCCCACGGTGAAACCAGTGCGAGACAGCCAGCTAGCTACACCTGCTGAGGCATGCCGGGTGACGTTTGAAGCCATCTCCCACACTTCTTCTTCCCAACTACTAGGTGGAGCCAGGTCAAGCGGGCAATGCCGTGCGGTTTGTTGGCCCAACGTCGCATCCCAGACGGGGCAAGGCGAGAGGGGAAGGGCCGAAGGGTGCAGGCCGCCTCCTAGCGCCAGGCCAACGAGCGACGAGTTCATGCGGGCGAGGTTATTATTGCGCAGATGGGTTGCATGACGAAGGGCGGCTGGGCGCTTTTTCGCGTCATTGGGTCTGCGTAGCTGTTCTCTCTTCCCGAGCCGCGGGTAGAAGGGACCAGCCACCCGAATGAAGCAGCAGTTCGAGATGTGATGATACCTAGGCCTGGGGTGGGCGATGTAACCAACTTCTCGTTTCTGCCTCTATTGTTGCCCGAGTTGGGAAAGACGTCTGGGTGATCATTATTGACCACTGGTGAAGTAGCATGTATTCACACTCAACATCAATCTTCAGCGGCTCTACCGATTTGCTCTGCTGGCGGGACCGAGGAGCCGATATCGCCGTTGATCCTGGCACCGTGTTAGTGCTTGAACCAATAGCGAGGGGGATTCCAGGCAAATTGATTGTACTGATTGCTACTACTGTGTCTATCGAAATCTAGCCTTGGGGTCGAATTGAGAATCTATTCATGGACATTCGGCCAGAATAGCTCGACCCCTCCCCTCTTGCTTGCTTTGACCATCGCCATCTATGCGGACTGCCGGCGAGCGTCAAATCTCGTAGTCCTAAATACTGCACGTATGTATATTGATATGTCTACATAGCTTGACTTCAGCAGCCACGTTGTTGTTCACGACTTCCTTGAAGAGGAGGACCTACGACTGCGTCTGCTGAACGAAGATTTGCTCAAATTGACTTTTCATTGCTTGTTGCTACTGAGGAAAGCCATGCTTACATGACCCGTTACAGTTGTGGAACAACAGCAGCCTTGTCCAACCGAGTCTTGTTGAATTTGAAACCTAAAAAGAACAACACATTGTAGCTCGCGGAGATCTAGTAAAGTATCAACCAGCGCCATAGACATTCTATACATTTGCCCCATATTTACCTAGCCAAAAGCCCACGTGAATCAAACAGACAACAAAGATACGCCTTTTTTGTTTTCAGAAAACCCAAACTAACACTCAACCCTCAGGTTGCCTAGTGGTGATGGTGGCGACCGAGCTGAGCGAGCAGAGGCAGCAGCATGCCTCCAACCGTGGCAAGGGTGTCGATCATCTGCGGCCCCTTTGGTTGACGCGGGCTACCGCTTTCGGAGTAGCCGTTCTGTGTCGTGTTGGAATCGTGAGAACCATCGTCGTTCATGGCGTGCATTGCGACGTATCTGTGAGCGAGGCGAAAACGAAATTAGCGGCTCGAAAGCGAGATAAACTCCCGTGGGACACCGAAACTTACAAGAATGTGCCTCCTGAGAACAGGAGCAGCATACCGGTCCACCACTTTCCAGCATCGCCATCCATGTTGCCACCGCCAAGAATGGTGATGAGTAACCAGGTCGTCAATGCACCGACGGGAGCAGCCAAGCTGAAGACCATTAGATGAGCCCTGGCAGCGCGTTTCGAAAGACCCTGCTTCAAGAGCACTGACGTCAACCCAAACGACGCGGGGGCCTTGTGAATCATGATGGCGAAGAAGACGATAAACCCGAGCTGCGTGTCCGAGGCGGTGGAAGAGGCTCCCATTGCAATGCCATCGGCTGCGGCGTGAATGACAAGTCCAAGGGTCGTGGCCAAACTTCGCGAGCCCTTACCAGTGGACGAAAATGCACCCAAAAAGCTGTCGTTCTCGTCCAGTCTTGGAGATGGCTCCCCATTAAGGTTGTCCAAGCTGACATGGCGAGGCTGTGGAGGCTGCTGGAAACGCTCGCTCGCATGCTTCGGGATCCTCTCAATCAGGAACATCAAGGCAAAGCCCAAAACAAGTGAGAGACCGATTTCAAAAGCAGGCACCTCCACGTGCCCCTCTTCATGTTCATGGCCGTGTTCCTTTTCACCAGAACCGTGATCATGCTCATCCCTGGTTTGGACAGTCCTAGGCACAATGATTTCAGGGGGTGCAACTCCAACCTCGACCTCATTCACATTCTCGCGGGTACCGACATGTGGTAGACCACCGTGATAATGGACACGGGGCCCGAATTCCGAGTCCAAGTCGTAACTGGGTATGACAGCCCGCACATTATGAGTCTGGGCCACTTTGGACTTTGCCGCGGCGGCGGCAGTAGCGGCTTCAATGCCCTCGGGTATGATGATGATGAGAGACGTGCCGACCAGGACACCAACACCAATGCTTGAAATGAATCGCATCTGAGACTGTGAGAGCGTCATGGATAGGGGCAGAGAGCCGGCCAGGAAAGAGCTTGAGGATCCGTTAGTCAGTTTTCCACTTTCACGCTTGTAAGAGATTAATCTATCAACGGGAGACCTACGCCACAGCCATGACAGCCTGTCGAGGTGAATTAGCATCATGTATAGTATCATAGATGAAAGAAGACACCGTCTGGGTGTAGAATAGACTTACACATAGTGCCAGTAATAAGATAAGCCCGGACATGTTGATGACTGCAGTGATAGACAGCAGCTCACTGCCTATCTGGGAATTGGGTTGAGAGAGCCTATCTACACCCCATTGGCTTCAGAAATAGATCGCAAGAAAAGGATGAGAGAGCGTCAGGTTCCGCCGGCGAGAGACAAGGACGAAAAGGCGTGGACCTTGCTGGATCGCAAATGCAAATCGAAGCCAGGCTTTTGACAGGATCCCCACCCTTGCCTGAGGTCTTGGCGGCAGAAGAAGTTGCTCTGGTAATCGTCTGCCTGGCCCGGGAGGTCAGTGCTGCGGTGCGTGATCTGTGCCGCTCTGCAATGACGAGGTGAGTGAGAAGTACGTGGCGGCTGGAATTGACGAGGCCGTCTCCTGAAGCTCCTGAATGCCGCCCGTCTGGCTGTAGCTTGGTGAGAGCTGACAGGGTGGCCACTAGTGGTAATTAGTGGCTGTAGGCATTAATAGTCGAGCTTGAGACACGCTCAGACAAGCGCTGCTTCAGTTCCGTGGCGGGGCTGCCAGAAAGAGTGGGACCATCCGCGAAACACCAAACTCATCAAGAATACTGCGGCTCTGATTGGACTCGCATCACTCAAAGAGCCGACTGCAACTGCCTAACGGACACCATCGAGCCTGCACCAGGCAACCTCTGTCACAACAAAGGTTTTATCACCGCACGCTCGCTCTTGGGTATGCCGCGCGTGTAGAAACCTTTGACATGGCGCTCCCAAGATGAACGACTCCGCAACATCGCCAAAGCGGCGTCACATTCTCTCTTCCATCAACCCAGACGAGGACGATGATCGCCCCAAGAAGAGCTCTCGACATCGGCGCTCCCGCTCCCGCTCACCCAAACCGCACGGCGATCACAAGGAGAGCAAAGAGGGACAAGATGGGGACCCCAACGCACCCAGGCGCTCCCGTCTACGACTGAAGGACCACAAGTCATCCCGCCGACGACGCTCGCGGTCTCGCGACAGCCGGCGCCACCACCATGAATCATCATCCTCCTCCCATCGCCGCCACCGCCGACACCGTCATCGCTCACGGTCCCCCACCCCTCCCAACCCCTTTGAGCCCGAACCCCTCGACCGCGAGGCCGCCTTCCGCGAATCCTTATTCGACGCCATGGCGGACGACGAGGGCGCTCTCTACTGGGAGGGGGTCTACGGGCAGCCCGTCCACGTCTACTCCAACGAGCGGGTAGGCCCCCAGGGCGAGCTAGAGCGGATGTCGGACGAGGAGTACGCGGCGTACGTGAGGCAGAAGATGTGGGAGAAGACCCACGCAGGGCTGGTTGAGGAGCGCGCCCGGCGCGAGGAGGCGCGCAAGAACAAGGAGAAGGAGGAGGCCCACCAGCGGAAACTACAGGAGCAGATGGACGAGAGCCTACGGCGGGGAGAGGAGCGCAGAGAGCGCAAGGGATGGACGAGGCAATGGGCAGAGTACAACGAGGCATGGGCGAGGTGGGATGAAGGCCCAACTGCGTCTTCTCTACCCTGGCCGTCTAAAAGTGGCGATCAGAGTAATCTAGACGAGAAGACCGTCAAGGGATTCTTTATCAACTGCCTAAAACATGAGGAGAAGGGAGAGAAGGGCTTCTTGACCAAGCTGAAAGAGGAGCGAGTCCGCTGGCATCCTGACAAGATTCAACAGAAGCTGGGAGGTCAGGTGGCCGAGGATACGATGAGGGAAGTGACGGCCATTTTTCAGATTATTGATCGCCTTTGGTCGGATATGCGAGACGGGAAGTGAGCTTGAATGGGCCTCAATAAATACTAGCAGGTTTCTTTTCTGCTTCTCTATATACCAAATGGTTATTGTTTTTGTTAGAATACGCTTAATCTTCTCAGATAACAGGATCAGCATCTGATTTTCACGTTCACGACCTTCATGGCAAAATCATTTCAGGCACGTGAATAAATGGCGTAATTGGTTCATTTCATTGATTGACTATACGTATACATAATTCTCATGTCATAACCGTGCTCATGCTCTCCATGCCGTCAGAAAAAAAAACAAATTCCCAAATGCGGAAGTAAACAGGGGCGCATCGCATCTTCTTTGTGTGTAAGTGCCTGTATCCTCCAGAAATGCACAATATTAGTCAACGGGGTATTATGTGACTTCTCCCAAAGCTTTTCGCCTTCGCCCAGCGGATTTGATCCTCCTCCACTTGCATGGAAGCATCTACAGGTTGAAGAAAACGGCAGCACCGCCGACCATGCCGAGCACAGCGAGGGTGACGGTGGGGAGGGTGGCGCCGCTGTCATTGTTGCTGCTGCTGCCGGTGGCACTGGCGGAGGCGCTAGTCTCGCCCTTGAGCTCCTTGACGGCGTTGCTGGCACGGCTCTTGAAATCCTCGACGGCGCTGGAGATCTCGCCAACCTCGGAAGTGGCGCTGGCCTTGGCGTCGCCAGTGGCAGTGGCGATGACGGAGCTCAGGGAGGCATACCGGGAGGCAGCGTCGGCAGTGACAGAGGCGACGACGTTGTTGATCACGGTCTCGGCGCTGTCCGCGTTGGCGGAGGCGGCGGTCTTGATCTGGTTGACGACGGAGGAGAGGCCGTCGCCAGCACCGTTCCAGATGCTCTTGATGTCGTCACCGAGGTTGTCGAAGAAGTCGCCAATGTCAGGGTTGGGCTGGGCCTCGGCCTTTAGGAAGGAATGTTAGTATTGTTACTAATTGGTGAGTTTGCGTTGGTCGATCGACGTACCTTGACCTGGGAGACGGCAGCGAGGCCGGAAAGGAGGACAGTGGAGAACTTCATGTTGGTGAGTTTGGTTGAAGTGGTTTGTTGTCTAGGTGTGCTAGGGTGGATAGGCTTGAGAAGAGCAGATGGCAAGCGATTGGGAGAGGATGAGGATGAGCAGCATGATTCAAGGGGGGAGGAGCACGGCTTAATTATACTTGGGCAGGCACGAAGGCGAGCTCCAACTTCCCTGAAGCAATCGGGACGTGCTTGGCTTGCATCAGGCCCGCTCAAGCCAAGCCAAGGTACCAGGTGCTACATGGATGCTTGGCAAATACACAGGGGGGGCTGCTGTCGTCGTCTCTTGAGGCTGGGGTTGGCCAATGCATGGCTGTGCATCATGAAATCTCATCTCAGCCCCATACCCGTACCCATACCCATTTACACAATTCCCAGAGCTAGGCATGCGAAACTGCCCAGTCCGGACTAGGTCCTACGTAGCATGTTGCACCTTGATGCTGATCAGAGAACTTGGCTCTCGCAGCGAAATTGCCCTGCAGGGCGTGAGTAAGGTCACCCTTCGCATCTTGCTTCCCTTTTTCTGACTGACGCGGGACATTGCAGTCGAAACCGCCAAGGCATCGCTAGCCATGTAGCCCGGGCCAGATGTAAGACAACGTCTGCTGTTGATTAATGTGTTTGCTGTGCATACATAGCATGCGACATGCAGTGAGCGTCAAGTTGAAGCCCATCACGAATCACAACGCCCACGTCCACACACTCAACAAGGATTTCGGGTTCGGGTCATCCTGGACCCAAGTTCCAAATCTCGCACGGCATTTCATCAATCATGAGCCACAGTACCCATGCCCAGGCAGAGGATAACTCCACAGAGAATACACACATAATATGGGGACTTGCAGGTACCTCCTCCGGGAACCAACTCGCTGCCTCCGATTTGCACCAGAACTATGACATCGTGTCGCAGCCGGGTCTAGTTGGTCGACCATGACATCGGTCTAACCCCCAAAACAAAAATACCATATCCAACGGCTCGCTCTCGGCAGCACCTCGTCGCTTCTCCTGTCTCGGCATCGACGCCTGCATTATGTCACACACGCCCGACACTGGCATTTCACATCGGTCAGATCCTACACAGCAAAGAATGCGGTCTACTCCTCAAACACAGGTTCCATCCCTCCCTCACACGACATTAGGCTCATCAGCCAAGCATTGCACCAAAATAAAGGACCAAGGTTTTGGGCTGGCGGGTGGGGCTGGAACAGGGGCCACAAAGGCAAAACGCGAGAGACAAAATGAAGCAAGACGCTCCAGGAGTGCTTCCCTGTCTCATTGCGTCGTCGGGGCCGCCACTGGGACTCTTTCCAGTCCAGGCGACGCCTCGGGACAATCCCAATCTTGCCAGCACGCCTCCTGGTGCTCAAATGTAGATTCCGCCTCATGGCACACAGAACCCGGGTACTGTACGCTGTGTTGAAGCTTAAAATAGGAACAATAGTCCGGGGATTTCAACGCCTTGCTGTGGCTTGGGCTAGAAAACCACCGATACGCAGTGGCTAACACTAGTGCGGCTAACACTAGTGCGGTAGTGGCATCTCGTGTCTCTCAGCATTGAATGATGCTGGCTCAGCCTGGCTGGGACCGGCCTGAACGCGGGAGTTCTGGCAGGATCATTTGGCTCGTGGCACAGACAACATACGTATGCCTCCTTGCCAGCCTTTCTTCTGTGTCAGCTTGGTCAGCCAAGCACCAGATTGCCACAGCGGTCTCTGGATTCGAGAATCTCGTGCGGACCGACATGCCTGCCGGCTGCATATATCACTCGCCAAGATTCATGCTCCCCTGCCGTGCAATCCATGATGCAAATGATGATGATGATGATGCTCAGCACACCTGGCTGTTTGGGGTGCCACCAATTTCCCCTCAGGCTGCTGAAACACCCTATTCCCGGACAGACATCCCCAAAGGAGGAAAAAATAAGTCACGTCGCAAAAGACGGGCGATCCATTGTCTGTTCCGACGTCCTTTTGCGACCCTTCGCCACCGATGCCCGTAGATGATTGGTATTTACCCGGTTCATTCAGATTGCCATCTTCCTCCGCTGTTGATCTCTACACACATGGTTCCTCAGCTGGGGCTTGACGCTAGGCAATAAGCATTCTTTAGGGTCCCTCTGTTAGGCCCATCTTGTTGTCGGTCGGGAGGCGTTTGTGCGCCCCAATACGTAGGCAGGTTACACAATGCGACACAACTCCGAGACATCTGCCACACACCAGCATGATACAGTACCTATCTAGTAATTTGTACCTCGGATTCTGAATCAATGGCATGATTGTTAACAACCGAGCCTTGGAAGGCTTGGAAGGGGGCCATAGTTTGATATAGGGGATCAAGGATGCGTTGGGAAGAAGGCTTGAGTACTACCTAATCTGCTCGGCCGAGACCTACCAAGAAACCAGCAGCTGCAAAAACACCCCGGATATGCCGCGAACAGGCAGCCAATCCTCGTTGAGATGATACAAACTGAGGCCGGATCTAATTAATTCCATACTTATCACGTGCTTTCACATGTCCGCTTGTGCTGCGATACCGGCACCTGTCCAGAGACCACTAAGCTGATACTCCGCCCATGTGCTGTATACCTTAGATGATGAAAACACCAATTCGTATACTCGCTGTCGTAAAAAGAGGAATGCACGTGCATGGAAAGAAATATGGGAAGAGCCGCAAAAGACAATCACACAGATACTGAAGCACCTCAAGTATTATGAATTGGCCTCGCAAACCGATGAGTACGACAGCCCCGACTGCCGTTTCATGGCAGTAGAACGCTGGGACTCTCACATCTTTATGATCTGCGATCTCTATAACACCGACTACAACTTTCTCGAGGCGCACTTGGATGGCAAGAATGAGCTGCCTGTCAAGATGGTCTGCAGAGCCCCCGTACATGGTGTAAAATCGAGCCCGGATGACTGGCTGGATGTGTTGCCCCTTGACTTCCTGCTATCATATTAATCAGGATGAGTATCGCGACAAACATTTCGAGCCCATACACGTTGTCGATGGCAGTTAATAACCATTAGGTTGTTACTGGGTGAACACTCCTCTATAGGTAGTTTACTTATTTATCATGGAGTTGTATGGGCCATTCTGTTTCTCAGCCGGGAACTACATCAATTAGCGCCAGGCCTTCTATACCACAGATTAGTAAGTTCACATTCTTCTCAGTGACTAAAATATCAACTAGCCAATTCCCTTGAAGTTGAATTGGTGCTGGGGAGTTCTATGATTCTATGATCTTCACTATTGATGAATGTTCTCGACTTTAAAGATGATGATTCTTCTTTAGAATCCACTAGTAAAAATCGTTGCAACATCCACAACTAACGGCAACTTGGGTTCTTAGCCTTCCCGTAGTATTCGGCATGTTTCCGCCCAGGTGGGGAAACCAGAATGGCTTCCCCAGAAAGAGGTGGAAGCAGTTGGTTGCGAGGCTGCAAGAATGTCGTTACATTTGTTTTGTAGAGGAGCATCCGGCAGAGATCCGGACTTGAAGATTAGCTATTTGTAGGTAGTCCGCCCATCCTCCCGCGAGACTGGCCAAGCAATTACGTACCGTCATGCGACTCGTCAGACGAGTTTGTCGCCCTGCAGCTCATAAGACGAGTATGCGAGGCATGCGCTCATCGTGCCGTTTATGGAGCGAGTCTGTATTTTTCTACCTCGTCTCCCAGCAAATTGGAACCCTTACTCTAGTAAAATGCACATTTCCGCAGCCAGGATATGTGTACATATCCCGTCAAGGTGAGACGATGGGCTTACAGCATCCTCATCCCGCACGAGTCAGGCCAATTATCCCTCCGTCTCCACCCTTCCGGGGAACACCGACCGATAACACCTTCGCCGCGGGGCCCAGATCCCGAATCTTCTATCCGCGTCCATCATATATGATTCACACCGACGAGCAGACGACGCCGCCATGGTACAAGATATTGGCAGCGGCAGCGGCAGCGACCCTGTCCCCGCGCCCTCCGAACCCAAGCCGGCCACCAACGGCACCGTCCCTTCGAAATCGCACCACGCCCCCGCGCATCCGCTTTCCGAGGTCTCGCGCCAGCTCAACGACAAGATCAATGCCTTCCTCGCCGAACAGACAAAAGATCCCATGCTCCAGAGGGTCCAGGCCCAGGTCCGCGTGGCCATTGGGGTAGTGGAAGAGGCCTACCGGAGATTCAGGTACGTTGTTCCCGCACCCTAGAGTAGGAGGGAAGCCCCGGAAGTGGTGGACAACCGATCTGACCAAGACCGTGAACGGCCCTGCCAGACCCGAGCAAATATCCCTTTCCTACAATGGCGGGAAGGACTGCCTCGTGCTCACAATCATCGTCCTCGCTTGCCTGTCACGACGCTCCGCCGAGGGCGGCGAGCCGATCTACCCCGCCACCTTCCCCGCCGTCTACGTCGTGTCACAGCACCCGTTCCAGGAGGTCGACGATTTCGTCGCCTCTACGAGCGAGGAGTACCATCTGCAGGTCTCGAGCTACCATGCGCCGATGCGAGAAGCCCTGGCCATTTACCAGGCCGAGAACCCCAAAATAGAGGCCATCTTCGTGGGCACCGTACGTTTTCCTCTCCGATGACTCGACCGCGCATTCCGGCTTCGGCCCCAACCCAGACGAGCTTGGCTGACAATTTGGAACCTTGAATAGCGACGGACGGACCCATTCGCGGAGAAGTTGCAGCATTTCGATCCCACAGACGCAGGCTGGCCTTCGTTTATGCGGGTACACCCTGTGATCGACTGGCATCTCGGTATGTTTGGCTGGCAGGTGGGGGGGGAAGTGGGATGAGCATGACTTCCCTCCGGCCTTGAACTCTTATCTCATGGTTCTCATTCCAAATTGCTAACTCATCTTTCTCTCTGCTTCAAAGTCGAGATTTGGACAGTAAGTCACAAGAGCTCCGGGATTGGCGAACCCTCAACTAACAACCCCGGTAGTTTATTAGGCATCTCAACATTCCATACTGTGAATTATACGACCAAGTACGTTCATCAATTTCCAGACATAGAGAGACGCAGCTCCCGGGCTTCCCAAGGATATGTCGCTAACTTTATTCAAGGGATACACCTCACTAGGCGGTAGACTGAATACACATCCAAACCCTCTGCTAAAGAAGGAGGGAGAGGCAGGTTTCCGGGTACGTCCCCCTCGTCTCACCATATCACTCACCCCCTTCGCCTCAAACCATGTCAAATTCTGTCCATCCATATACTCTTCCCTCTCTCCCCCCAAACTTGCGCGCTACCTTTCACGAACCACAACCCCCTCTTTGGTGCAGTTACTAACTCGTAGCTCTTCTCTTTCCTCATCTCCAGCCTGCATATGAACTTGTAGATGACAACGTGGAACGACTAGGTCGGGATAGATAATATAGAAGAAGGAATATCACAAAATGTAGACTCCAATCATGCGTTCCCGAACCCACTGCTCGTATCTTCTCTCGAAATTTCCAACTTCATATTTCCTGATCGCACCACAATCCCCCCAAGCGCGAGTATGCTCATCCCTCCTCCATCCTCGGATTACAACGTGACGTTGCAACTAATCGGCATGCAAGGGGTGAACGAACGCATGAACCAGTCGGATGGCATACCATCCACCCTCCCCCACAGGGTCGATCAAATGTCATGGTAGAGGGCAACACCACGTTTCAGCTCGCTCACAATCTCGGCCGCCTCTTCTACGCCGCGGGTCTCGAAGTCGTACCGCTTAAGCTCCGTGGTTTTGTATATGATCAGCTGTAGTAGACAAACACTCCGAGTTAGCCAGCAGCCCTCCGTGAAGGAAAGAGATTACGAAAAAAAAAACACCATTAGACTTGCCTGAACATTCGTGGGGTGCTTGCGAAGCACCTTGCACCCGACCACGCTACGGAAATGAACCGTCGTTGTCTTGCCACCGCCGTCTCGCAGGGCCTTGCCGCCAGACGCCGGCACAATGTGAATATACTCTCCGTCAATGACGAGGATCCGCTCACTCATGCCCACAATGCGCATGGGCTGCTTACGCCATACCGTGTACTTCTTATAGGTCGCGCTGCGTAGCTCGTCCTGCTTTGCAATCTCCCGAGCCAGCGGGTGTGGGCCCAGCATCTGAGTCTTCTTGGCCTTCTTCTGTCCGTAGACCTCGGCCAGCGCCGCCTTGGGCGAGGTGCTCCCGGGGGATCCCGACATTGTCAGAGGCCCGTCGGTTGCGAAACGACGTCGATGTAGTTCCAGGTCTGATACGTTTCCAATCGAGGAAACGGGCCGGTCGAGCATGACAACGACCCCAGAGCCGGGAAGCTTCAGAACGTGATTGGCTTTCTCCAGTTGCCGTTTTGTGCAGACGGTTTCCAGGACCTGGACGAGATATGTATCTGTTGTGACATCAACCGTCACCATCTGGCCTGGGGCAACATCCGAGGACATGATGGAAATTCTCAGAAGCTTCCTCGGACCACGTGTGGTGCTAGCCGTCGTAGTAGGTGCTTGTGGCATATCTGCCAATGGTGTATTTGTACGGTAAGTAGTTGTGATGATGGGGTTCTGTCGTGGACGGTATTGCTCCGCTGACAGGTGGTTATTGCTTGAGCTATGCGCCAGAGATCCAGGCTTCTGGACAGGCTCTTCGGGTATTGCGGGTTCGGGAGCCTCCTCCTGTGCTGGACGCTCCTCGGTTTCTTCTTGTGGTGTGAGCTCTTTGTTATCCTGATATTCGTCCTTCGAGGCTTCTACCAAAGCGAATTCGTCATACGCCGTCGAGTTAGATCGCATCCGTCCGCCGCCCCTCTGGTTGGCATTGTTGACTGTGGTGAATGAATTGAGTGCTTTGGTTCGTTCAAACGGGGGAAAGTCATCATCCACTTCTCCGTCCTCAACCATCCTCAGAGTCCACCAGTTAATGTTCAGCTTGTCTGACGGCAGCGGTGGTTCCTTCTTATCCGTATTGTATCGGTACAGACTCAGGCCAATCAAGTCGGCTACAGTCACCGGCCGCTCAGTACCCTGGCCGTCATGAACACGGGGCTGGATGAGCAGCTCAAATGGCTTCCCAGGCCTCTTCGAGAAAGCAGGATATATTCGGACGGCGATCGAACCCTGCGTGCCCTGGCCATTGTAGTGAGCGAACTTTTGGAAAGGAACTGATTTGTGTTCCTTTGCCTTGAGTGCAGCCGACAACAAACTTCTGGGCTGAGCCATGCTTGGAGGCCGGATGGTGCTCATCGGACGTGGTGGGGGAAGAGCCTCAAGCATGACCCTCACAGGTGGCCGCGATTTCCGAACAGTAGACTGCCGAGTAAGGTTCTTGGGCGGTGTACCAACAACTTGCTGAGTGGGTGAGGCATTGATCGGGACAGGCACTTCGGCCACATCGAGAATTGTGACGGAGTCGATACTTCCAACATAATTGTCAGACATATCAGAACCGTCATCGGAGTCATCGTCATCGTCCTCATCTAATGTGGTACCAGCCATCGTGAGGCCCGCTGGAGATTCCTCCTGGATCTTGTCCTGGAATCTCGCAGCCCTGGGTACAGCCCGTGTTGGTGCTCGGCTCTGTTGCTTCGGGGGGGCGTCAATCTCATTGTCCGAGGATATCTCACTGCTCGTTACTGTATCGCGCCTTGCCCTCTCCTTGACAACTTCAAGCGCTGACTGCGACCCTCGACGCCGAGACCGGGGCGATTGGGCCGTCTTCATATTGCTGGCCTGGGTTGGAGACGACCCGGATCGATTCCTGACGGGCATTTTGGCAAATTTGATCTGCTGCGCTGCTCGCTGGTCCGTCTCGTCATCACTCTCGTCGCTCAGATCACTGCTGTCCACCTCCTCCTGCTCCCTCCGCCTACGCCTCCTCGTCGCTGCCATGCTGGGCCCAACGGTGTCTGCGCCACCGCCCGTGAGCATGCCCCCGTCTTCTTCCCCATCCTCCAACGTGTATCCCTGGTTCCTCGAGGCCTGGAAGTATTCAGAGGCGATGGCTGTCGGGATCGGAGGCGAGTGGGTTCGCTTGATGTGGGAGGAGTTGGGCCGCCACCCGGCAGCTTTGAAGGCTGCTGAATTGACGAAGCCCTCGTTTACTGTGAGGAGGCGCTCGCCGACTCCGTCTGTGATTTCGTTCAGATAGCTTGTGCGCAGCTGGTATAAAACGAGCCTGGACTGGTCAGCCATTTGCACCTCTCGGGGTAATGCGCGGCGGGTGGACCTACTCGTCAAGCTGGATAACAGACATGGCTGCGGTGTGGCGCCTGTCACATAGCCAGCAGGAGTTCGTTTATATGTGTGTGCAAATTGGATTCAGGTCAGGTCATGGTCAGTGGAAAACAGGATATGGATATGGACTGAGTAAGAAATGAACGGACGGCGTCAGACTTGAAAGGTAAAGGCCGTGAGAGTTCGCTTGTGATAATTGGCCTGTTTGGGAGTTGGGGAGTGTGGAGATAGTGGGCTGGCTACATGTAACTCTGTCTCTCTCCAGGGACCTGTTTCACTGTCTCAGGGACCGCAGGGGGCGGCGTACCTGAAAGAGCTGCTGCAGTAGAATGGCACCAGCAAGCAGCAATGAATACATGGGGTGTCAATATTAAGTTCAAATTTCTACATTATCTTGGCTACTGTCGGGGATCTTGAATCGAAGTACACTGCATGTCAACATTCAAGGGTCTGGCCCATATCTGCTGTCCCACTGGCCGACGTCACATCACAGCACCGAGCACCGGCATCACAAGCACTAAGCAAAACTCCACTCAGCACATGGCACCAGCCATCAAGCTCCAAGCTCTTCAACTGCACTCCCTTGTCTCCCTCCCTCCGTCGCACACACAGCATCGCCCATAGCTCACACAGGAGAGTATGGGTCTCGTCGACTACTCCGAGTCCGACTCCTCGGACAACGAAGCCCCCGCGGCCCCCAAGCCCGTCGCGCAAACCCAGCAAAACCGCCCGTCGAAGAAACCCTTCCAAAAAGTCGTCGACCGGTCCAACCCGGGCAAAATCGTCCTCAACCTGCCTCAGCCCAAGGCAGATGGCGCCGCAAACACTAGCGATGAACCGCCCGCGAAACGCGCCCGTACAGGCGGCAAAGGCGGCATGTTCTCGGGTCTGAACTCGTTCTTGCCGCCGCCGAAGAATGCGAACAAGCCGGTTGTTTCTTCATCCGGTGCCATCTCGAAGCCGAAACCCGGGGTCAATCTGAAGACGAGTGCGGCGCCTGGCTTCAGCCGTGAGGGAGAAGACGAAGAAGGGCAACCGGGCAGCGGCGGTGGTGGTGGCCTGAACCTACCTCCTCCTAAATCACAAGCCGCCCCGTCGATACCTGAAGAGCAAAAGGCGGCCGAGGATGTCAAACTAGTTGGCAAGCCTCTCATGTTCAGGCCTCTTTCAGTGGCCAGGAACCCAAAGAAGAAGAAAGCGCCCAAGGCTGCGGCACCTGTGGCCCCATCTACCGCTAAGAGTGTGATATCAGAAGGACTACAAGCCGCACCCCAACCAGCACCAGCTCCAAAGAAGGTCTCTTTGTTTTCACTCCATACGGAAGAATCATCAGGTCCCTCTGCCTCGTCTGGTCAGGATGGCGCCTACGAGCCTTTGTTTGACACCCAAGATACCGCCACAGAGTCTGTCACGGGCCCATACGCAACCCAACAGCAGCACATCCCCACAGCAGCAGTCTCAAACCAGTCCGAGTCTCTGCAATACATCGTAGACGACCTCAATCTCTCCGCCGCAGAAAGGCGGGAGCTTTTCGGCCGTGGCGGCTTGAGCGCCGCGCAATCCGCCAAGAAGGTCATCAACTTCAACATGGACAGGGAGTACCAGCACAACCGGGAGGTACAGGCTTCCGGGGAGCAGCAGATACACAACCCTCTGCGCTCCATCAACGCCGAGGGCAAGTCCAGCCTCAAGCAGCTCGTGCAGAACGCACAGACCCAGCGGGAGGCGCTGGAGGAGAACTTCGCCAAGGGGAAGTCCAACCGCAAGGAGGCGTCCAGCAGATATGGTTGGTAGATGTCGAGATACCCAGGGAGTTAACATTGATTTTTTCTTTTACCTCACGATCACCAAGCACGCATAACTTTTTTTCTTCTTTGTCCTTTTTAGTTTCACACAATTTTATTGCCGAAGCTACAATTTGGCATCCTAATAACAAGATGAAAGGGAAGGAACAAAAACTCGCTATGTTCAAGAGAAAAAAAAATATGGTATATCCAACAAAGAGGGAGTGTCTCCCGAAACGCCGTTCTGCATTTAGTCCGTCCATCATAATACGTTTCGTCCATTCGTCTAGCACGTTTCAACGGCAACAGTCCTGCCCACGCGCAATGAGTTATCCACCATCAAAAATCCCCATTCACCTCTTGTGACGGGTGAGATGTCATCATATTCGTTTGGTGTGACCGGGCCCAAGTCTGGAGAGCTTCTCTCAGAGCCGGGAGTCAGCATCATCTCGTCGATGGAAGAGTTCCTCCACGACGGGACCTTGAACGGCAGTTGGTCCTTCGGCCGAGCCGTCAGGTTGCTATTCGGTTCATCGTCACTATCGCTGTCGTTGGCCGAAGTGTCGAAATTCGTTTGGAGTTTGGGGAGGAATGGCATTGTCAGAGTCTGCTGCTGTTCCTCCTTGGTCTCCATCGGAGGAGCCAAGTCGCGCTCTGGGGAACCGGCGCAGGTTCTCTCACTTGCGCCATCACCATCGTCATCCCTGATCTTTACATCATGCCCTGTGACAACAACAGTTCGGACTCCTGTAGACACAATTCCTGTGATGGCACCTAGCCCTTCAGGGCCACCATAGGCCCTTCGATACATGAGATCTAGGTCGCCAATTGCCGCGTGGGAAACACTCAGCCAGTCATAAGACCGAAGCAGATCCGACCTTGTGACCTTGCGGCCGTTCCCCGCAAGCACGAGGCGACGAAGCTCATCCACGGCGTCCTCTAACCTCAAGGGTGATCTGGTCTTCGAATACGCAGACAAAGCACTCTTCAGGCTGTAAAGACCATCAAGTGCCACGAGTGCTAGACCCTCCGAAGAGAAGAGGACCTCGTTCTGGCTCATTGACTGCTGTATAAGTTGGTTCGTCAAGCCGCACGTGGTCGAGCACACCGGTTCCGAGAGCCATTCGGCGCTGTTTGAAACAATATGTTAGCCATACAATCTTTTCTTCAACTTTGTTGTTGCATCCTTGACTCACCCTATCCTGAACTTCCTCCGGGCATTGTGTATAATCGTCCTCAAGGACTTCTCGTCCTTCGCCGACACCTCCTCCGAATACACCAGCCGCATCCCATGCGACCCTGAAATCGGCGAAGGGTGAGCCACATCGTTGGAGGCAACCGTGCTCGTCGTCGTCACGCTCGTCGTAGTCGTGGCGGAGGAAGGGGTACAGGGCGTCATGGGGGACATGCTGGCCGGGGAGAGGGGCCACTGCAGCTTGGGAGACATGCGGCCGAGGGAGGAGGGGGCCATGGAGGAGGCGAACGAGGAGGCGAACGAAGGCGTCGGCGAGGCCATGCTGCCTCTGAGCTGCTGGGTCTCGATCCTGAGCCGCATGGGCGAGCGTCCGTGGCCCGAGCCGGATCGCACGAGCTGTCTGAGGGAGGACACGGGGGAGGCTGCGAAGCTGAAGCGAGGCGAGAGCGGTGTGGTCGGGATGGGGGAGTTTTGCATGCCGGGCGAGCCGCACGGGGGGATGACCGTGGGCAGCTGGTAATCTCTCCGGACTGCCACGAGGGTCAGGTAGAGGGACTTCCGGGCCAGCTTGTCGGAGACATATTCGAGGGCTGGAGTCAGGTGTGGTGGCAGGTGGTGGGCGTCCAGGATGGAGATGCCGGCCTCCAGAGGCGAGGAGATCATCTCCTTCAACGCCATTTTTGCAAATACAACGTATTCAAAGAAAGTCGAATGGAAAGAGTGTCGGTTCTTGGATTCTGCAAAAAAGGATATCACAGGTACCAAGTGATAAAGAGAGGCAAGGGGGTAAGGACGAGAGCAACCAGCACGGCGTACAGATGCAGGGAGAAGCGAGAAGAAAAGAGAGAAAGACTGTGATCCCCAAGTCAAACTGGACAACAAACAATGACAATGATGAAGCTGCTACTGCTGCCGGTGCCGCTCGTCTGAACCGCCCTCCTTCATGACAGGTCGGAACCTAAGTCGATGGTGAGAGGAATCCAACTGGGGAAAGAGACCGCGTAGAGGGGAACAATTATATATCTCTGCCCGAAGCCTCATACACGCAAAAACAGAGGCTATTTGAGGATATACCAAATTAGTTACCGCCTTTCTGCAAGGGGGTTGGTGGGAGGCTAGTGCACCAGAGCTGTGGGAGAACAGGACGGGGGAACAACGAGGAGAACAAGGGACAAGACACGAAGAAGGGACGCCTTGGTGTTGTGTTTAAAAATAAGCAGTGAGAGTTTCTAAAGCCTTCCAATCCAAGTACGCGCAGATCAAAGGCACCAGAGCAGCTGAAACTAAACCAGGCCGGCCGCATCTCATGGGCCCCAAATGGGGAGGGGGCCTTCATGTCTACCTATGGGATGGGGGGTGGGGAGGGTCTGACCGTCCGGAAACAGCTTCCAGGCAAAAGATGAATGTAAACAAGCGCGCTCTGCCTGCCGGCGGGCGGACGAGCAGGCAAACCACCCGCAAGGCGAACGACAAGCGAGCAGATGGCGATGGGGTCAACGGGCCCGCGCTTGTCCAGCTCCCGGGCGCCAAAACCGCCCACCACGGCTCCGTAGGCTAGCAGGAGGAGGGGCGGTGGCAGCCAACCAACAGGCGGCGGGCAGGAAGCGCCCTGGCAGCACCCCCCCAGGCCCCAAGGAGAACCAGGACCGCCCGTTCGTAAAAGCCATAGGCCTGGCTCTCAAGGGAGGGCCTGAGCACGCTACTGCACAGCATGTGTTGGCTGTCACCTCCACCTTGTTTGTGGTGGTCGTTGCTGGCTGGTGTGAGTGGGCTGCGATGGCTCTGGCCGCCCACAGAAACACCGCGGCGGCTACAACCGACGACGGCTCGCCATTGGGGCAGCCGGCAGCCAATCAGCACGCGGCCCGGCGCCCGAGCTCAGGGTCCTGTCCCCTGCCCGGTGCCCGCTAGCGGCCGACCTCAGGTGCTAGTGCGCTGCCATCAGCGCCCAAAAGTGTAACAACCCACCTGAAGTGTCCCAGACGGATGATGACGCGGGGCAGGCAGACACAGAAGAGACCAGCCCAATCGTCTGTCATAGGCCAGCCCAGTTCGAGATGGAGGCTCCATCCGTCAGCCAGACAGAGAGACGCCTCATTTCAGGTGCAGCCGTAATTACAGCTTCTGCCTTGGTAATTTGCTTTGATTATTATTGCATTGCACCTTAGTCCTGTCTTACGCTACACACCTCCCACGCATAGCATTGATTGCATGGCTCAACACCACCAACCTCTCATCATGATTGGCGAACGCCGTGTCTACACATCAACATCCTGTATGTAGGTGTGCAGACATGTAAACAATGCTGACCCCTACCGCCCAACCTCCTTCTCCTTCGCCTCCGTGCTCTCATAACACACACACACACACACTTACACGCATACACCATACCGAGTACACACACACTCGCATTCAAGGTCACACTACTCTCCACAATCAAGGACATCATACACAACACGTACACAGCACCCGGAACGGTAAACTGAAAGCAAAGTGCAACCAAGCTTGCTTGGCAAGCCCACCCTGTTATCATATTTATGATTCCCTTAGTAGTGTCCCTAAAAACGCCATTGCGCCTAGCCCGTGTGCCTGCCACACTCGGCCCGCAGTTAGTAGGTATTCGGCAATCCCGAAACAATCCAGCAAACAGTTGTAATCCTTCTATAACAATTCCCGCAATCTCAATACATTCATAGCCGTACCTGTCTCCTGTTTTTTTATTTGGTGGAGCATGGACCAAAAGAAGAGGAAGAAAAGCCCAAGTTAAGAAACCTCGGGGGAAACCATAACAAACGTAGGCAGGAAGTAGAACTCAAACGCCTCGGTACCAGGTCAGTGCCAATCAACCATGCTGTCAGATCTTGACATGCTCCTCTTCTGCCGGCTCATAATCTTTTGTTTCTCATCAAACGTCGTGACCATTGTCATGCCATATGCGTTTCGTTCAAGTCATGCATGACCTGCATGCTCATATCTGCAATGCCATCCATTGGCTCTGACGAGCCACAAGATCCTTCCCACTCTGTTCGCCAGTTAGCTCCAGCTCCTGTGGTCTATCCCTGCATTGGGCCCGGGTTGAGTTGGGCGGCTGGGAAACCTACCAGACCCGTCTTCTTCCAACTCTTCCACAATTTGCCTCCAGAGGGAATCCATCACCTCTATCGTTCACTCGAATTAGCGCCGTACAACTCATCTTTCTTTGCAAATAACTCACCTTCCCTTGCAAGGGCGAATTCGACAGCCAGCGTCTCCGTTGCCGAATCAGGTCTCTCGAATGCCAATGCACAGTTGGCCACTACTCTCCCAACATCGCCCGCTTGTTCTCGAGTGATACCTGTTCGTCTCCTGACATAGACGTCTCGCAAGAAGGCAAGGCATGCCATTCCTAGCCGCTGTGTTGTCTGAATGACCAGATCAGTTGGCCTCCCCTCATCATCATCTTCATCTGCATCCTGAGCGTCAAAATGTCTAAATAGCTCCAGCTCGAGAATCTCAATTGTCTTGGCTCTCACGTGAACCACAGGGTGGACCAATAATCCAGGCGCCCATTCGGGGGCCAGACTAAGACAGTGGTCATGCATCTGGATCATCTCACTCATTTCCGTTCGATAGGCTTCGAGTGTCATCCTAAAAAATGACAGCAATGGCATGCCTTCCGCGAAATGCATCCGCTTAGCCTGGCTCGCAACAAAGGTTACGAGTTGCTCCGCGCGTAGCTGTGAATGGGTACTCTCAACATATCGTAGTGATGCTCGTAGGAAGGGCTCGATCGGATGCTGTGGGTCATCCCGGCGTAAACAATTCCTCAATGTTTGCGCTATCGCTGCGTCCATGTGCTCGGTGCTCTTCGTCAGCCGTACTATGATGTTATCCGTGATGGGGTGCATTTGATCTATGGCCAACAGCTTCTCAACAAAGAACGAAGCGGTTCGCTTCTCTGGGTGCTGGTGAAGAAATGAAACCTCCGAGGACGTCCAAGGGAATGGGGCGCTTGTCATGTCCAATCGATCATAAGGAGATTCCACAATGGTCTCTACACTCAATATCGGCTCAAGGCATTGCAAAAGATGGCCAATCAACGCAATGACGGCGCTGTAGGGCGGGGGCCGACTGCTAACTCGGCGCAGTATATTGTTCAGCATCCGGGAATAGTTGGCGGGTAATTCCATTGAGGCATCTGCCGCAATGATCATGAAAAGTTTCAGGAGAAAGTCTTCGGCGAGAAGGTGAGCTGTTTCCCGGTGCCCCAATTGGGCGAAACGAAGCATAGTCTGAAAATGATCGTCCCAGGCCCGAATATGGATTTGAAAGAATCCCCAGAGGTACTTGAATATCTCCATGGAGCCTTCTATCACTGAAACTCCGGATCCGTTCGTTGCGCTGCTGCGGCGACTGAGTGCCTTATCAACCTCTTCCATAGAATCATGTTCGTCCTCTGATTTACTATCGAGCGCGGGATAGTAAGTTTTGGGGAAACCCTCCGAGATTTTCTTCAATGAAGAGATGAAGAGCGTTCCTGTCATCTGACGGACAGCCTGGTCAGGGTTCCGCTGGATCAGAGACCGGAAGGATGCGTGCCTCATATGGTAGTATTCATAAAAGGATAAGGCGCAGCGGCGGCATGTCTCGATTGCTCCAGAAATTGTTCTGGAAAATCCTATGAAGTCGGGTAGATCTTTCTTGCGGGTGACGACTTGGTCGAAATGGCTGAGTAAAACCTTCATAGCCAGATCTTGAACTTTGTGGCCCGCGGCCCCTCCATCGAGAGAGTCCTGGTCAGAACCACAAAGTGCGGTCTCAGCCTCCGTCTCATTTCCAAACAGTCTTGCCTGCTTGAAGCATCTCTCGGCTAACTCCGCATGGCTAGGATCGAACAGACAGTGCCGCCGGAGATAAACCGTATTTTCATCCAGGATATGCGCCTTCTGTTGTGCATCCGAACCAAGACGTAGCGGTAGGGAAACTTCTTGCCCCAGCAATTCTTCCTGCTTATTCAAGGAAGAGGCTCGTTCGTAGAACAGCATGTATGCACTGTAGGACTTGTCGTACACAGCACCGCCTGTCTCCAATGTGGATCGCTGATCCGGGCCCCCAAACGTCGATGCCTCCATCATGGCTGGGTCCCAAGGAGTCACCGTGTCGTCGTTGAATTCAACCCAGCTGGCCCGTCCTGGTCGCGAAGGCCTTTCGCGAATGTAGGAGTAGTAGTGACCCGATTCTGCCGTGCCAGCGTGAACTAGAACTCCAACAAGCTCGAAAATGTCTTCCTCCTTATTTGCTGGCCCGTCCGGATCACTCAGATAGTCAACAGTGTAGGGTTTCAGGTCAATTCGGGGAGGAAAGGAGAAATAGTCGTTAATTTTGTTTCGCTGTAGGGTCCGCAAATTAAAGTCAAACCGCTTCAGATGGAAAATCATGTTGTCGGGGAGGTCCTTGAGGCAGGCTCTGGTCATAGTTAGCCAAAATTACACCGTGACGCTGGTAGCTGCCCAGTTAAACTCACCGTTTGACAGCATCGACGTGGCGGTCACATGTTGAGCACTTATATTTGTTATCTGGGATTTGGTTAATCGAGCACTTGAGTGTCGTCAAGAATATGCTTGGGCGAGTACTTACCCCCTTCAAGGACTTCGCCATCTACATAGGCCTGCAGGCTCTCTTGCAGACTATGTTTTCCTTTTATGTCACACTGGATAGCTGAAAAAGTATCAAGACGCTCCGAGATGTGCTGGCATTCCTTGGACTTGATCTGTTGGACCAGTCTCCCTCCATAAAATGACCGCAACTCCTTTCTCTCTAGAGGAGACAAGAGCTGGCCTTCAAACCGATCGAATAGAAGGTTGTAGAATTCATCTACATCCATCTGATTATGAATATCGATCAGAGAATCATCATAGTTCTTGATAGAGCTAACAAGGTCGGTAGGGTCAACAAACCGCCGGTAGCTTTCTTGCATGAAGCCGAAGACCTTCTTCGCAAAATGGAGGAGCTGTTGGGAGCCTTCCGCATCTCGCACCTGGGTTGTTAGTAGAAAACGACGGAAACCCGTATTCATGTAAAGCTGGGTGAGCAACGAGTTGAGGTAGCATGTGTTTGAAAGATTCCTCAATCCAACGTAGCCACAAGGGGCCCTTACTGCTCTTGAGCGATCGAAGCTTGGAGGCGTCTCATATAGATATGGTTCATCTTCCTCAGTGACGAAGAATGGTAGAACAGTGTCCATGCTTGTCAGAAGAGTGGCGAATTCTGCCGTGTTATCTTTCGCCAACCTAAAAACTATCTCACATAATTGTTTGCGTGTGTCGGTGTTCAAGATTACTTTGGGGACAGGCTCTAAGGCCACCGAGCGTGTGTGAGGGAAGAGATGCTTCCAGAACAGGCCATCTGCTAGTTTTCGAAATTTGAGGGAGCCGGATATCTCGGCGTCAGCCTGTAAACTTCCCGACAGGAAAAAGGCAAGGCCTTTCGCCACAGGGTCGAAGGGTTCCGTCTGATCGATATCTTCAGTTGATGTGTGCTTCAATAACAGATGCCCGGCCTCCACAGCTACATCAGATAATCCATCCAGTGCGCGGTTCTGGATAACCGCATGGCGGAGTATCAAATTCGAGATCTGGAATACTTCATGACACTGATCTGGATGGATTGTGGTTTGGTGGAGAACTTTCGACAGAGCTCGCCAAAAGAAATCGGCCAATCGAAAACCAGTACTGTGCATAGTTGCAAGAGATAGTTCTTGGTTAAGAAAATCCATCACAATCCTTGAAACAGTCGCTCGTATTTGCTTCCTTTCGTCATATATGAGGAGCGTGTGAACTACCTCAAGGAACGAAGAATCCGAGATTAGTTGATCCCAAAAGCCCTCGTTGAGAACGCCTAGTTGGAGAAGAACCTGGAAAGTATGGATAACA